TAAGAGAAGGTTTGAATGTGGTTGAGTAAGCAACTTTAATGGTTGGAAACAAAAAGGGAGTAAGAAGAAAGCTTAAGGATACAAGGTAGCAAACGTGACCTTACTCTTATGTCCTTGGTATTTGCTTACATGTTCTGTGTTTATATGATTTTATGAACTCATGCATTGTGATTATGAATATGTTTGAAATGTGTCATAGGCCTATGTGTTTTATGGTTAATGCATGATGATTTCCAAACATGTCACTATGTTATAGAAATGTTAAGTTGCAAACATGTTATGAATGCCAAGCTTGCCATGTATGTTTGGGGTGGTTATTGTGTACTACTGAGATTCTCTCGAATCTCACCCTCCCTTAACCAATCATAGTAGGTCAAATGATAAAGAGAAGGCCTGCATGAAGAAGGGCAAGAAGATGGAAGCAAAGAAAGTGGAGAATTTATAAGCGCTTCAATGTAATGATTGACATCGCTAATTATGTAATTAATTGTGGATGTGTCAAGCATGAAATGTGATGTAATGTTTGGTGTACAATTCAATGGCATGCAACTCAAAGTATATGAATGAATGGGAATTCATAAGACTAGTTGTTGCATGTTCAAATGAAGGGAGAATTAAAGTAAGAATTGTTTGATGGATAAAACGTAGGTCTTAAAGCAGTCAATTTCCAGCTCTAGTTTGACCTATCAAATGAATGAGTTAAGGTAGGAAATTTGACGTGATTAAATAACACATCCTAAGTTTTAAAACAAGTGGTACATCACTTAAAACGGATGTGTGTGTTAAGAGTTATGCCCTCCCAAAGTTGGACCTGTAATCTGGAAAATACCCAGTAAACGGTAACTCGAGAATAAATCCCAAGTTCAATTTACGAGCTTGTTTTGGGAATCGCTTGAACCATAACGCTTCCAAGCACGTACTCTAAGGGGTTAAAGGAAGGATGTTTCACCCTTCCCTTATATTGACTTTTAATAATTTGGATTTTATTATGTTATGTTTTATGTGGATATTTATTTAAATTTTATTAGTTAAACACCAGCATAAATATCACGTATGGCGATACGTGATATTTATTTATTTAAAACTATAGTTGTTTAATTTTATTATTAGTTACTCATTCCTTTTTTTATTATTTGTTACTGTTTCTTTTTATGCAGATGAAATTTATAGCGGTTACAAAGCACTACAAAAGTTGCAAGAAATTTTAAAATTTCAACTTTAGATTCTCCTCCTAACTGACAATTTGTAGCGGTTACTAACCGCTAGAAAATTCTTACTGTTACCCTCTTACTTTGAAATTCAAATTTCCTTCCGACCTCAACATTTCTCACGATTATTAACCACTAGAAAAGTCTTACTGTTACTGTCGTACTTTCAAATTCAAATTTCCTTCTGACCTCAACATACCGTTACCTTTTTACTTTCAAATTCAAATCTCCCTCCCACCTCAACATTTCTAGCGGTTATTAACTGCTAGAAAATTCCTTGGAATTCAATTTTCTAGCGGTTGTAACCGTTAGAAAATGTCTACAAATGCTAGAAATTTCTAGCGGTTTAGAACCACTAGAAAAAGTTTATCGTTATCTATATGTTGGCAGCCTCCTTTAAAAGCTAAAGAACTTCATCTTAAATTCATTTTAATTTCTCTTTGAGCTTTTCATTTGAAATGTTCACGAAATTTGAGCAATATTAGTGATGGATAGGTTGTGTATCAACTTGCACCGGTCGACTCTGCAATACTTGGCTGATCTAAACTATTTCTTAGATTTTGCTTTTGCCAATGCCACTGTAAACGGTAAGATTCAGTGTCTATGTCCTAAATATAATTTCAAGAAGTGGCATCCAAGAGATATTGTTAGAGAGCATTTGATATTTAAGCCCTTCCCGCGAGAGTATGTATTTTGGCAACTACATGAGAAACAATCAAATATGATTGCTGAGTCAGTTCTAGTAGTTTCACGAATGGGAGTTTGAGCAGAAAAAGCCGATGTCGTGAACAATGCTGTGCGTGATGCTTTCGGCGTTCATGAAAGTAAGGATCCTGAATGTTGTTTGTATTATTGTGGTATTTAATTATTTAATAGGGATAATTTAGAAAAGAATTGATAAATATGAGAATTAAGTCATATATTTAGGACCAAGATCAACATTCTAATTAGGTCCTATATTAAGGACCGGAAGGGTATTTATAAAATCACGGTTATTTTATGAAGATAAAATATCCAATATTTCTCAGAACACTAAGGTTTCTGGTAACCGACCTTGTTTGGAACATATATTTTCCAATGACGACGGTTGGACCTTTAGCCACTAGTTGACTTTTATGGTGTTTTATTTTTGGGGGAGGGGATGAAGGACATCATGGTTATTTACCATAAACAAATTCATGATAATTAACGTTAAATTATATTGCATTAAATTTTATTACTGAAAAGCCTGCAATTATTAAACCAAATAAGCCCTTAATTGATTCGAGTTGTATTTTACTCAAATTAAAGGCTTACTTTGGTTCTAAGAAGGAATAGGAATTGAATGAAATGCGATCTTGATTGCTATGAAGATGTATGATATATTATCAAAAGGCGGATTGGGAGAAAAATTAATCATCTAATTAAAAATAACAATACAAAGTCCAAAATGCCCCTAAACCATTTACCCACTGACCTATGAAAGTGAATTACTATGAAACAAGCTTAAATTTTCAATATTTGAAGCTCCTCAGTCTCGATCTTCTAAGAAAATCAATCAAAATCAGCCTTCTTGATGCAAGGTCGGGCAAGGCTTTTTCTTCTTTTTTTTTGGATTGCTTATAAGTATTCTCTTATTGAAGATAATCCTGTTCAATATACGATCAGATACTAAATGTGGATATATCTTTCAACAAAAATTTGAATATTGATTCACCATCTTATTTTCTCACTAGTTGCATTGGGTATGTTTGGGCTTTTATATGCGTGAAGGATACATATTTGGATATTGTTATAGTTAATCTTCATTACAATTATGTGAGTTGTCTTGATTATGTATTGGATTGATAAAACGTGATTTAGTAATTATATTTAGTATTTGATACTAGCAACTTAGATTTAAGAAAAGAATAATTTAAAATGTAATTTTTATTTGTGAAGGTGTAAAATTTATAGATGAAAGAATGTAGCAATGGAAAAATTTTCAAAGCTAATAGCTAGGATTTAAACTGCTGGTCAATGTTCTACTCTAATAAGACTGCACATAAGTAGGGCTAGGCAAGGCATGACCCTTGCCCGATGTCCAACCCAAATGATCAACAAGGCTATATTTTGGAGCTCATTACCCAGCCCCACCCAATGAAAACCCAAGTTATTTAGGGTAGAGTTAGGCAAGGTGGGCTTTCCTGCCCACCCTAAGTGATGATGTATTGATGCGTTGTTTACATTATGTGAACATTTTCACCAAACCAAATAAATAATATTATATCTATTTATCATTCCACATCTTCTTATAATTATATAATCAAACACAACATGATAAGTCTCCAAACAAAATCCATAATCAAATATATCAACAATTTAAATCTTGAAATATATGATTCTATCATATATGAATATTACATATGTGTGTATATATTAAATATAATTATATGTAATGAATATATGTATATTATATATCTAAACTCTGGGTAGGGCCAAATGGGCAAGGCATGCACCTTGCCTAATGCTCGGCTGTGCCCGACATTTGGCCATGTTCAAGAATACTAATTTATTGTTTGAGCTGCTTTTTTAGGGCTAGGCTGGGCATAATTTCTCTGGGCTCACATAAGCATTGTAAGCTTTTAGGCCTCCCTATACCCCAAGAAAAAAAAACTTTATACCAATTTTGGAACCAATGTAAAAACAACTGGTATGAAAAAAAAAACCTAGATTATACAACTGCGGTGGAGAGTGAAGAAAAATTAGCAAAAAAATTAATGAGACTTCGTATATTGTGTTTTTTTCCTGAAAAAAAATAAGGGTATTTTTCTAGATTGTAAAAAAACTTACAAGCTACAAAAATGCCCCTGTTTTTAGATAACAAGTTCAATTAAGGTTTTAACAAGATAATTTATTTGATTCGATATTTAGATATAACAAACGAATATGGAGCCTTCATATTCATCTATGTTGCTAGAACAGATGAATATGGAGCTCCCAACCGCAGTTTTATATATATATATATATATATATATATATATAAATATAAGGTGCAAAAAGCTCTACCATTCATTTCACATTGAGTTGTGGTTAAAACTTAAATATATTTTTTTAAGTGATATTGTTTTTCCTTTAATCATGCACCTTATAAATATTAACATCATTTCGTTTATTTTTTTCTATTTTTTCGGAAAACAATTCGTGTAATGAAAATAAGATTCTGTTGCAGAAAGAGAACATTAAAGACAAAGATAACACGCACAAAGTGAGTGAACTTAATGGATAAAAAGTCATATCAAGAAGACACTTAATTAGATGTTAACATATATATAATTCCACCATCAAACATAAGATGCATACACATTCATATATATATATATATATATGACCAGATAATTATACGACTGGGCATATCCAAGAAGTTAGGTAGAGGAGGGCATAACATATAAGGTTTATGTGAAGCCATGCATAGTAGGAATCATCTCTTATCATCTTGCCTCTATCTTTTCCTGCTTTCTTCGTTTTCTCAGCCATCAGATCAATTCAGTAGACAGAATTAAAGCAATCAAAACCATTAGATTAATCCAACGGACTAGATTATCGAAATTGCATCTCATCATCATCACCGTTGGATGTATCTGATGTTCTGAAAAATACGAATAAAACGTAGACAGAAAGAAAACAACACGACAGAACAGATTATCCAAATTGCCTTCTTTATTCAATATATATATATATATATAGGTAATATATTAGAACTTGAACACATGCATGCATGAAGCAGTGATGTGGTATGCATAGTCACATGCATGCATTCAGAAGTTTGATGGATCATGGAGTAGTGTTTGGGGCACGTGCTTGTTGGATGGAGGTTTTGAGATCTTTAAGCCACCACCAAGGGCCGCCATTGTTAAACCAAGGAAGAAATGGACAGATGGGTCCTCTACCACCATGATGATCATAACCACGACCATGGTCGCACATGTCGTGACCGCAGCCGCATGACTCATCATGGCCATGGTCACAGGAGTCGCCGCCTCCTCCTCCTTTGTCATCACCGCCACCACCTTTTTCACCGCCACCGCCACCGCCACCATAACCACCCTGGCCACCCTTGCCACCACTACCACTTTCATCCCCCCCGCCGCCGCCTCCTCCTCCTTTGTCATCACCACCACCACCTTTTTCACCGCCACCGCCACCATAACCACCCTCGCCACCCTTGCCGCCGCCACCACCACTTTCATCCCCGCCGCTGCCACCTTGACCATAACCGTATTGCTGTAGGAGAACTCTGCGGCTCGAAGCTTGAATGCGATTCAGAGATGAGAAAGCAAACAGGGTTAAAAGCAGAAAGGTGAAGAAGGTTCTTCTGGCCATGTCTTCTCTTTTGCAGGGGAGAGAACTGGCTTAATCATTCAAGACTCAAGCTCACTTTAATTTATAGAACCACTGGTAGGAGTACTGTTTATGTTATGTACTTAAAACAATGTACTTAATTATGTTTTATATTTCGGATAATATATATTAAAAAAAAAAAAAAGGTGGGGAGACTGAGTGAGAGACTTTATTTTTAGGCTAAACTGTACATAAGGTAACCTCCCTTCATGACTTTTGAAACTTTACAATAAACCCTCTAAACTCATATTTATGTAAATAATTCTCCTACAATTAATTTTGTTCATTACTTATTCGCACAATTATAGCTTCAAGTTTATTGAGTTTATGTGCATATATATAACTCAAAGTTTGAGGGTGTTATATGTGCATAATAAAGTTTAAAAATACTCCCAATGGTCCTAAGTATATAAGATCTAGTTTATAGTACAACAGCTCACTCTTTACCTAATTGATGGCTTATTTTATCATCTTGGCAAATTGTTAGGGCAACCTTTTAAACATAAGATATGAGCCGTCCATAGTTTAGATGTTCGTATGGAATTGTTCCATTTGCTTGGTTTCTAATTTTCTCTCTTACTCTATCTCCTAAGGATTTAGGGAGACTAGCCAGGAATTTTTCTTTCTAAAAAATAGTTGGCTATCTTCTCTAATATAACTCATAAACTAAATCTTATATTTAAACCGGATCAGAAGTAGTAATAAATAATTGCTGGTTAGGAGTTATCTATACAAAACTTGAAAACTCTAGAGTATTTATATATGGTTCAATGTTTAGGGGAGTTTTATGTATTTTGGTTTAAGTTTCATTAATACTCTATTTACTTTGAGCAAAACTAAAGCGTATTTATAGTTCCATGGTTTTGGGTAAAAATAAAGAATTACATTTTTTTAAAAAGAATTTCAATAAGGAATCTACACTATTCATCCTATCACTTTTGAAACTTTAATTAAGAAAAATGGAATTCTTTATTGGATGGGCTGATGAATAGGGTATATTCAAGCAATTTAGAATCCTGTATAAAGAGACACAGGAAAGTTAAAAAAGACAATAAGGTCATTAAGTAGGATCTCTTAGTTAACAATTTATTTAAAGATTCAGTTGTTATAAGGCCCAATGGCATTGTATAAGCTGATCACGCAATGAAATACCAATAGAAGTTGGGTCTAGTGAAAAGAATTGGTCTCTCACAATATGCTGATCCAGGCTCAAATTCTCCTTGGGAAAAATGTCTACATTTAGTACACAATAATGTCTCAGACAAGGCTATTTCCAATAAGATGATACGTATGCCTAGGGGGAAAAAAAAAAGAGATAAAACTTGTTGTTGGAACTCTTTATCAGTCCACTCAACAAACATTGATATATTTTCTCATTTTTTCTGAAATTTAGACTGTAAACTATTGAATATAACAAGATAAATAGTAGTACACTTGTGACACTAAGAATCTCACTCTCATTTATATTTTTCAACAGTTAAGTAACTAAAATATATGAAACACGTATATGAGCTGATTAAATCAAGATATAGGAAGGCATATCATCAAATATGTTTTGTTTACCTGTGATTTAATTAACGTTGAATTTTTTTAGGAATTGGTTAAAGATTTATATTCGAACTTTTCGCATGTTATTAATTTCTATACCAAAAGGAGATGAATGAGGGTGACAAGTCGTTTTACTCTTAGGACCCTAAATTAAGATCGATTTAATTATGGATAAAGTGAATAATAATTAATAGATAAGGGGCCACAGAGGAATAATAAGTAGGGGTGTGCATGAAGCCCAAATGCCCGCTAAGCCCGCCCAAGCCCGAAGAAAAATTGCCCTGCCCAGCCCGAAAAAAAGGAGCCCGAAAAAGAATGGGCATCTTTGGGCTGGGCATTTCATGGGCAGGGCTGGGCATCGGGCAGGACATGCTGCCCAGCCCATTTGGCCCTGCCCAGATTATATTTATATATATATATATATTATAATTTATAGAATAATATTAATATATTACATTTCTTTACCCCAAAAAAAAGTTATTCCCTCCTCTTTACAATTTAATTTATTATTGTTACATGTCTGTTAGTTTTCCATCTTAGGGATCTAATTTTTCTAAAAAAGCAATAGTATCTTGCTTTTAACTTGTTCTTCATGAGCTTTATTGAGTACATCCTATTGTGTGTTGTTGTTATAATGTTGGCTATTTATAAGCCCGTCTTCCCTTATATGTCATTAACAACTTTCTTCGTTAGAGAATGGAGTTCATACATTACATATTTGTATAAATCAACAATTTTGAATATTTATACAAGATAGAAAACAAGATTGGGGTAGGAGCAGAGAAAGAAAATTAGGGTTTGATTATATGAATTATATTTTTTATTTTTTATTTAATTTATATTTAGTTATTTTGTATTAATTTTTTATGAACAAATCATATGATGGAAAGAAGTCTTTTAGTTGTAAGGACTACTAACTGCATTGTATCACATAATAAGTGTTTGCATATTAAAAGTGGTTATATTAAATTATTATAAGATTTTAAGATTTTTTTATTTATCTTTTTACAATTATTTCACCATATTTTTATATGGTCTATATTATTCCTTTTAACCCATTGCTTTAGTTTTAATATCTTTTTACAATCCTTTAGGTAACATTTAATTTTTGCCACTTGAATGGATAATCAAGCTTCTATTACATCGCCATCTCCAACCCTCAATGGAATATCTCAATGTGCTTCAACCCCTCTTCAATTTTTTTTAAATGTTTTATTCTTTTCTCAACTGTATGGAGATTGACGCAAAACGTTTGAATTTCAAGGCTTTAATTACAATCTTGAGAGTTGTTTTGTTCTAAATGGATTATGAATATTATTTATTTAGATATTTGCTAAGACTTGTTTTAAATTATTTCTGGATAATTTCAATGTGCGAAAATGTAAAACTATGAAATGTAATTTTTAGTTATGGACGAAAGTTTTTTTACATGTGATATTGGCAGGTTATCACTATTTGGGCAACGAAGCCCGCCCTGCCCAGCCCGCCCATGCCTAGCCCAAAATGGTTAGGGCTTCTATGGGCAGGGCCGGGCAGCGGGCTGCAAAATGCAGCCCGTTCATATCTCGGGCCGGGCATCGGGCAGGGGTCCTGCCCTGCCCAGCCCTGCCCATGTGCACCCCTAATAATAAGTAGCAAAATATTCTTTGCTTGTTTCATCGAATAATGAAATAAATGGATCAACTTTTGATTTCACCTGTGAATTTCTATAAACACTGCCTTTAATTAAACCATGAAAGTGATATGGGAATTAATTAGCGTGCAATCTTGTTAATTTTAGTTGTGGCAAACAGTTGTAAATTGAAAGCTACCTAATTGCTTTTTCTGTTGTTAGTTGAGATAATTCTTCGAATTTTTCTTTATTTTGGGAGAAAACGACAACTAAAAATTTAAAAGTTGTAATATTGATAATTTAATGACTTTAATATTTTTAAAAAGTTCAAAGGGTCAAAAGACATGAAAATTAATTTCAAAAAACCGACAAAAAATGCAACAATATAATAGATTGTAACTTAAGAAAGTGTGTATACAATATATGTATAGAACCTATATGATGAGTTAGAAATTAAAAAATAATAATAATAAATTAATAAAATGTCATGTAAGAGAATATGTATGATAATTTTAGGAAATAACAATTCTATAATATATCGTAGCCATTTTCATCGCTCCTATGCAGAAATTATAACGTTAACAAAAACATTATTGTAGAATCTTTAAAGTGAGTCAAAATTTTCAAGAAATATAAATAATAACAAGGACACGCAACAATAGTAAATAAGTATTTATCAAAAGCTCTAAGGCTTATATATATCACGTCGGTTTCTATTATAAATTATTTGTGGGAGAAATATTTTTTCCTAAATATAAATCATTTAAAAAATTATTAATGATTGTTTTCTAGCTAATTTTACCATCATTAACAAGAGAGTGAGAGAGAGGCCCGGAAAATACAAGAGCAAATGTATAGCATGTTTTTTCAAACACGCATTCTTTAACAATGAGAAACTTGAAAATTTTATCAATCGAAGACATATTTAATTTAATAATTCGTGAGAATTCATTAAAAGTAATTCATAATAGCGATTAAACTAGCATATTGCCAACATTCTTTGGAATTGGTAGTTTAAAAAAGTACTACTCCATCTCTTATTATAAGATCCTTTTAATTAAATTACGTGATTAAAATTAATTAAAAATAATTAATATATAGCAAATGTAATTGTTTTTTAAATATACACTTATATATAAATGAGTAAATGTGAAAGAGTAATAGTAAAATAAATAAAGAAAGATTACGGCACAGGCCTCTCCATTTCTTTTTTCATCCATTCCCTCCATTTCCCTAATCCTAGTCTTTCATTTAATCTGCGGCTGAACAAACGCAAAGGCACGTGGCATTTAATATCTTGGCATCACCCCCAGTAAAAATCCCCCTTTCGGTTTCTTTTTTATTTTTAAAATATACTTTTAATTCCTTAACTTTATATATATTCCATTTTGACCGCTTCATTTTAAAAAATGAATTTTTAATCCCCTAACTCTAAAATTATTAATAAAAAAATAATGATATTGAGCTCCTGAATACTGGTAAAATATTACTAAATTCTAACATATTAAGTTTAATATTCAAAACAAATATGATTATTACAAAAAATTATTATTTAAGACTAATAATTTTAATTTTAAGGTTAAAAAACTGAAAATATTTGCAGTATTCAGTCTCCTAGGGCTTCTTCAATCTCGAGACATTAAATTAATATTTGCAGTAACAGCAAAAGCAATTTACTTTTAAAAAAAGGCCATGGGATGGGCAATTAATTTGGCTAATCATTTAATATATTAATGCATGTTTTTTATTTTTTACCTCTAATCAATTATATATCTCATATCCCTCTTTTTTTTAAGAGAAAATCCCATATAAATATCACTTGAATTCAAAAATTTCAAATTAGTCATTCTAATTTTTCAAAAGACAAATAAGGCTCTAGGTATTAAATTGGAATTCACAAATTTTGACAAATTACTTCTATACCCTTTCTTTCATCTTTTTTTTGTCTTCTTTCTCTCTTCGTGTTGCAGAAACATAGAGAGAGAGAGTTTTTCTCTCTCCCTTCAAATCCTCTTCTTCTTTGAGGGATAGTCATTGTAGATTTTTTTTCTCTTGAGCTAAATTAGAGAAAACTTAGCTTTGTTGCTTCTATTTCTGATTTACTTGAAGGAAGTCATGAGAACTAGACCAGCAACTGTGGGTCATCGATCTTCTTTAGAGAGAGAGGGAGGGAGGGAAGACATGACTAAATCTTCTTCTTCCTCAACCATGATAGCAGCAAAGTAGCTGCTGTTATAGGCATTCTATTTTTCAGACTTGCTGCTTGCAAAGTCCTTGGACAACATGAAATGATTTTTTCATCGACATCGCATAGACAAGCTTAGACAACTTGAAATGATTTTTTCATCGACATCGCATAGACAAGCTTAGACAACTTGAAATGATTTTTCCATCGACATCACATAGACAAGCATATTTTTCCAATCAAAGTTTTCTTTCTTTTTGGCCATAGAAAGTCTTCTATTTTTCATATCAAAGTCTTCTATTTTCAGTTACACGTATATTGAAGGAAGTGATTCTCATTGTTTTCTTGCTCCTTGTGACTACTCAAATCATCTAAAGTCATTAGGTGATGATGAGTTTGTTGGTAAACAAGCTATTCCTTCTGAAGATGATGTATAGTGAACGGGATATGTTTTGTGACTTTAATGACAAGAAAATATTAGCTGTTGGTAATTTAATCGTATATATGTAATACAATTATTGTCATTGCTGGTTTTTGGTAAATACTATTATTTTAGTGGTGAATTTCATTGCAAGTATAATAAATCATAAAAGTTATTATTAACATGCTTATTATGATGTATTTCAGATCTATTTGTCTCCTATCTATTAATTTCTCAAAACATTTACCCCATTGTTTAATTCCCCTAAGAGGTTATACTTGGTGAAAATTGACTAAGTCAAGAGTATAAAAATGGTCAAATGCATTTTTCAGGTTATCAATCACGTTACATGTCTAGTCAATTTGTCTAACTTAGCCTCCCAAAAAAATTGCACCAAATCTGGAAATGACTAATAGCATGTTGCAAAATGTGTTATGGAAATGGTCATATGCATAACATGTTTATTAAAATTGTCAGTTGTCAATCACATTACACATTTAGTAAAATTATCTGAAAATAGCTAATAATAAGTTGCAAAATGCATTATGGAGATAGTTAATTTCATATGCATAACACGTTCATATGCATTTAATAAGTTGTCAATCACATTACACCTTTACTAAAATTATCTGAAAATGGCTAATAATAAGTTGCAAAATGCATTATGGAGATAGTTAATTTCATTTTGCAAGTTGTCAATCACATTTTAGGTTAGTAAAATTGTTTAGAAATTGCTAATAACAGGTTACAAAGCGTGTTATGGAATAGTCACATTTATTTTGCAAGTTGTCAATCACGTTACATGTTTAGTAAAATTGTTTGAAAATAGCTAATAACATGTTGCAAAATGAGTCATTGAAATGGGCAAATTCATTTTACAAGTTGTTAATCACACTACATGTTTAGTAAAATTGTTTGAAAATTGCTAATAATAGGTTACAAAATATATTATGAAAATTGATACTTTTTATTTCACAAGTAGTCAGTCACGTTACATGTTTAGTAATTTTGTTCAACTCAATTTTTTGAGTTTCGCTTACTTTATAATGGTTAATAACAAATTGCAAAACACATTATGAAAATGATCAAATTCAATTTGAAAGTTATCAATCACTCTGCAAAAGCTGTTGATGCTCTTCATTTTACTTTAGTGGCAGTTTAGTTTTTTTACCAAACTTTGCAAATCTCAGATTCCTACCTCATGTCCATTTCGTCTTTTTATTTATTTACATGACCTATTTGTCTTTTTAAATTTCAAAAGGTATTTTCAGTCATTTCTCTCTGTTTTTTTTTACTTATTTTTTCCTCATCTTCTTTTTCTCTCATTTCTCTCTTGCTTGCCACCTCTATAAATAAGGGCATCTCATAAGTATTTTTTTTACATATTTTTTTTAAAATAATTTTTTAAATTGCGTGATTTGGTTATTTAGTAATTCATAACATCTAATTATTACCTGGTCAATCTTGTCGTCTCCCCATGTGGCCCCCGGATTAAACAATATTAAACGGCAGCTCAAGCATCCATGTACAGAGTTCCGTTTGAAGAAACCCACGCAGTTACAAATTCCATCCAGATATAATGGATTCTCATTAGTCCAATATGTGTTTGGCGAAAACGCGGTTTTCTGCTCCCCTTGGTGCGCCGCCGGACCGTAAAAGTATTTAACAATTATATAGCCACTGGGTGTCAGTCTGAAATAAATAGAAGCCTACTTCAACCTCTTCAGATTTGGCTTCAAAATCACACCCTTCTAAGTTCTAAGCCAACCTTATCTCTTTCGCACTCTCGCAGAAATGGGGATTCCTCACTTTCTCGTTATACCATACCCAACACAAGGACACTTGAATCCCAGTATGCAGTTCGCTCATGCTGTGGTCAAACATGGCTGCAACGTCACTTTCCTAAGCACAGAGTTCAACCACCAAAGAGCGATGATGAAGGCTGCGAGTTCTGATCAAGAAAACCTCTTGGGATCAAAGATCAAGTTAGTCTCACTCCCGGATGGTTTAGATCCTGAAGATGAAAGAAGAGACTTGCAGAATCTGGTTTTTTCAATCAAAAAGACCATGCCTTTAAGCCTTCCTAAACTCATAGATGAGATTAATGCTTTAGATGGTAACAGTAAGATCACTTGCATAGTTGTTACTGTTAATATGGGATGGGCCTTAGAAATTGGAAGCAGACTGGGAATCAAAGGTGCTCTGCTCTGGCCTGCCTCTGCAACTACTTTGACTCTCTGTGATTCCATTGACAGCTTCATTGATGACGGTGTTATTGATTCTGAAAATGGTAAAATCTTTTACCTCTATTACGCTCAAAAGCTGTTTGCAAATAAGACTACGTCTTTGGCCTTGAATAATTCTCCAACAGGACAAAAAAACTTGTACTCTTCTCAGTTTTGATCCATCTCTGCTTAAAATTTCGTTTTTTAATTTTCATTTTTTATTTGTATTTTGAACTCCAAAAGTTCCACCAAACATATCAGGATTATAAATGATGTGATCTCTTTTTCATTCTCTTCCCTTCAAAATCTTGAACCTATTTCCATTTCAGGACTTCCGATCAAAACCCAGAAAATTCAGCTTTCTCCTAGCATGCCTCTGATGGCCCCAAAAGATTTGCCTTGGTGCAGCCTGGGAAGGGTCTACTTTGAACACCTGGTACAAGAGATTCAGACTTGCAGGTTAGCACAATGGTGGCTCTGCAATACTGTGCATGAACTTGAACCTGTGGCTTTTTCCACATCACCAAGGCTCTCGCCTATTGGTGGCCCAATGTTGGCAAATAGTGACTACAACCCAACATCATTCTGGGAAGAAGACAGAACCTGTCTACATTGGTTAGACCAACAACAACCTAAATCTGTCATTTATGTTTCTTTTGGTAGTTTGTCAGTGTTGGAGCCTAACCAGTTTACAGAACTAGCACTTGCGCTCGACCTTTTGGATATGCCTTTTCTTTGGGTTGTGAAGCCTGCGAATGAACAACATAATGCATACCCACATGCGTTTAAGGAAACTAATAAGGGTAAAATTGTTGGTTGGGTCCCACAGAAGAAGGTCTTGAAACACCCTGCCATAGCTTGTTTCATTAGCCATTGTGGTTGGAATTCCACCATGGAAGGTTTAAGTGGTGGGGTGCCTTTCTTGTGTTGGCCATTTCGCAATGACCAGTTCGTGAACAAGTTTTTTATTTGTGAGATTTGGAAGGTTGGATTGGGACTTGACAAGCAAGAAAATGGGGTTATATCAAAGGATGAGATCAATAAGAAGGTGGAGCTGGTTCTTGGAAGTGAAGATATGAAAGCAAGGTCTTTGAAATGCAAGGAAATTGTGATAGAAAACATGGAAAAAGAAGGTCGTCAATATACAAGGAATCTCAACAACTTTATCAACTGGACCAAGGAGTGAACATGTTCCTGCTGATCAATTAATAAAGGGTCGGAATTCCTATTAGAGAATGTGATGTGTATCCAAAAGCTTGAGGTTCCTCATTTACGTATTCATAAGCTTGACGCCAAGAAAAAACATAATTCCTCTCTTGTTTTTATATAATTTTATTTTATTTTAATTAAGACTTCGTAGTTTTTTTTTTTTTTGAGTTCTTGTAATTTCGTCACCTATAAGTATTGGTCCCTATATTTCGTAATTTGGCAACTTGTAAGAGAAACAACAGCGGATGACATGACTGGTTCTCATTCAGCATACACATAGATTAATTTTTCCATTTAAATAAAATCAATATCAACTAAATTATAGATTATGGGGGTGTTTGGAGAATAGTTTCTAGAAAATAGATTATGGAAAGAATAGATTTTGTGAAAAAATAATTCTGAGAAATGAGAGTGTTTAGATAGTTGTTATCAGAAACACTTTTTATATATACAAATTACTAAAAAAACATAAGTTAATATGATAATTACATAAAAGATAGATTTTATGATATATTTTAATTTGAAAGAATAAAATTGTTAATAATATTTTTTTTACCAACATAATTAATAATACATAAGACAATATAATTAATAATTAATTAATATGTGTATATATATTTATAATATCTAAGATTAAATATGTTTATAAAAAAATAATTGAGGGATATTAAAGTCATATTATTGTTGAGATCTACTCTGTCAGGTACAATCATACTTTTCAATTTCAGCCAGAAGTAGAATAGATTCACTTCTCCTGAAACCATGGTTTTAGATTCCAAAACTGTGGTTTCGGATTATTTTTCCAAAATTGATGTTGTTTGGGTGATACCCCACCCAAACTATGATTTTGCCTCCCAAACTATAGTTTTGGGGGCACCCAAACAGGCCCCCCACACCATATATAAGTGTAAGGAGATGGTTAAAAATGTAATAAATTTTTATTTTCACTTTGGTATAAATAAATTTTTGTTTCATCGTTCTATGTTTAAACAACATTTTCTTTGTCCTGATGAGGGCATTAGATTATTGTATCATATGTCGTAGTGTGTTGTTTCCCGGTCTCTCCATTTCGTTTACATCCATTTCCCTCCATTTTTATTTACAAATCAATTGTAGGAAAAAAGATTGTTCTTAAATATAAGTCACTTGTAAAGTAATTAATTTTTTTTAATTTTATCCTATTGACTTAATAACTACAGAGAGTGATAAAATGAATAGGTAAGAAATATATTTTTAAAACATTTTCTAATAAGGACAAATATGAAAAAATTATAAATTTAATGTATTTATTGATTTACGGGTTTAGGATACAAGTAACTTATAAATAGAGACAGAATGATATAATTTTTTAAAATGCAGGAAAACATAATAATTTATTTATCACTTTCTGAAAATATAGCATTAGTCCAGTTTGTTTTTCTGAGGAACACGCCAAATACCATAAAAACAATAAAAATTGTTATCTTAAAAAAATTGTCATTATTTTTTGTTGTTTGCCAGCAAAAAGTTGTCGTTATTCTAAACTAAAGAAACAAATAAGTAAACAACAATTTTATACTGCCTTCTTTTAACTGATTTTTTCTACTATCTTAATTGAATGGTGTGCAACCTTTTAAATAGTTTTATCATTTTTGTGTAAAATTTTTATTATTCTAATTTTTGCCTATAATTAATAATGTGGAGTGAGAAAATAGAGAAAGAAGAAGATTAAAAGGGAGGAGAGACTGGAGAGTGGGTGCATAAAAAAAACAAAGGCTAAAATATATTTTTAATCTTTTAATTTTACACAATGTTTTATTTTGATCCATTAACTTTAAAAAGTATATTTTCAGTTCTTTATTCCCAAAATTATTAGTCTTAAATAATAGATATTCATGGTTATTTTGAATATTAAATTTAATATGTTAGCCTTTAGTAATATTTTATCAGTATTCAGGAGCTCAATATCATTATTTTTTTTGTTAACAATTTTAGGGTTAGTGAATTAAAAAAAAATTAAAGTGAAGAGATCAAAATGAAATATTGTATAGAGTTAAAGAATTAAAAGTATATTTTAGCAAAAAAAAAAAAACAGAAGAAGAAGAAGAACGGAAAGCGGGATTTTCATAAGGTGCGATGTCAAGATATTAAATGCCACATGACTCTGCATTTTTTCAGCCGCAGATTAAATGAAAGGCTAGGATTGGGGAAATTGAAGGAAATGGTTGAAAAAAGAAATGGAGAGGGCTTGTGCCGAGAAAAAGTATAGAATATTAAAAGAGAGAATTACAATCAAGTCTCATAAAAAAAAATTACAAAACAAGTCTTAGAGATTATCATTCTCTATTGTAGAGCTTGTTATTATAAGCTGTTCAGATTGTTATTGAGAGTTTTTAATAATGATTTCTCTTTTATAAAACTTGATTGTAATTCTCTCATATTAAAATATGTGTAGTTGGATTACTGCTTTCAGTCATAGAATTAAAGAAATTAGCAACTGTGTAGTTTATCCATTAAAAAAATCGGAAGACCCTTTGTTAACCAAACTAATGACTCCCTCTAATCATTCGAGAGTTGAATGATAACCCAACCGTAAAAGGTTTTTAACCCCACCCTGTACAAGCCCAAGCCCAATTCTTCATGACTCAATGTAGCTCTTTAATTTAATATTCAATATTCCCGACAACGTGACGCATCAAGATTCGAATCCCTGCTAAGAGAGCTATTCACATTTAGTACCTGATAGTACCTCGAATAGAATTGCCTTCAATCAGAAGATACCTATGCTTTAGCAACAAAAAATATTTCCGACAGATGTTAGGTTTAACGAAAGAAACTAATCATTTATAACGTCGTAAAGCAATGTTTGAATTCTTGTCTCAACGTAGGTCTTTAAAAATATAAAACTTATTCGTTAAAATTATAAAATTATAAAATACAGGAGTTTATTGCGAGGCTATTTTTTAATAATTAATATTATTTAGTCGTGTTTTTAAAATTTTATTTCAAATAACTTTAACATGTAGAGATAATTTTATGTATATTTATAATTGTAGGAGGGATGAATGATAATTTTGAAAAATTCCAAAAACCATATTTAAAAATAGATTTTAAAATTATTTAAAGTAAGTATTATCTCACATACCTTTTTTTTGCCAATCAATTATCTCACATTCCTAATTAGTAAAGAGTCTGATCAAGAGTTCAAAATTTTGACTGCAAAATATTTTTTTAATTTTAAAATCTTAATTTAAAGACAAAAAATTAGCCGCAAAAGAAATTTGCAACGTAAAACCTATGAGTTCTATCACTGTTTACCCACTTACCATAATCGCTCAAATAGAAATCAAAGTAGAACACATTAATAGTTAATGGAAGAAACGTGAATTAAACTAAGCAAATCAGGGATTTATAACCTTTTTTTTTTTGTGCCAAGGCAGAATGAATTTTGTACAGAAAAGATCGAATTAGTAAATGGAAAAAGATTAGGAATTGATTTTTAAGTAAATAAAAAATTTAAAAACTGAATTAAAACGAGTCATAATTAGAATTTGAGTTATAAATGAGTTAAAAATTTAAATAATTAAAAGATTTATTTTGCCAAAGACATTTTGTTACTTCGTATATTTTTTTTGGCAGAATGTTAATTCTGATAATTTATTATTGCCTTCCTAGATTCTTTATTTATGCAGTATTCACAGATTTACATATTTATTAAAAAAACTCATTTAGTTTTTTCCTTTTCTTTTTGTGCTTCTAATTACGATTCTTTCTCCTGAAACTTCAGCGTACCCAATTGTTTAAAAGCAATTTTTAAAACAGAGTATTTATTATTTTTTAATTAACACATTAGCAATATTTTTATTATCCCCCAATTCAAAATTTTTTCATTTCAAACGAGTTATATTCCTTCATATTATTATTTATCAGGTTAATACTATTCTTAGTTTCTTAAATTTGACCTCAGTTAAGTTTTGATCTAAGAAATTTAAAACCAATAATTTTATTCTTTAAAATCTTGTTTGTTGAGTGTTTAAAAATCTTTAAACGGGTCAAAATAAAATCAAATTTCAGAAAATAAAACTATTAGTTTTAAATTTCAAACACTGACACCAAAATAAGATTAAATTTCAACAACTAATTTTCTAGTCTCTTCCTATTACAGCTGCTTTAGTGTACAAACATCTATCTCAGTAAAAAAGTATTACTTTCGATTTTTAATATAAAAGCTAATTTGACTTTTAATTTAATCTTAAATATAAGATCCCACTCTACTTTTTCCTTCATATCTATTCATTTTTAGTTTGACTTTTAATTTGATCTTAAATATAAGATCCCACTTTATTTTTTCCTTTATATCTATTCATTTTTTCCAAGATTGTTCTTGTAGTAGTTATACATGTTAAATGTTTTGTCAAATGATAATTCTAACTAATACACATGATTAGCAAAAATATTTTAGAAAAAACTCCTAATTATTACAAATAACTAAATAAACAAACTTTTTTAATGTATTCAAACGGGTCTACTAGCTCCTATATTAAAGACCTAACTTTTATATTAAAGACAAGATATATTTAAAATAAACGGGTCAAAAATCTCTTACATCCATGAACAACGTTGACTCCAATCAGACATCCTAACGTCTATTAAAGTGAAATCTCCATTATTTCTGTGCTGCTTTGTGTTTCTCTGCGAAAGTGAAACCCACCAAAAACTTCCAATAATTCTGACGGAAATTTTGATGGATGTATAACCTGGAGGAAAACAAGTCAATATCGATGTGTGTGCATATGTAACAACATGCACTTGTTTCCCTCGACGATTCAATAAATTCATTCCTCCATGGATAAATGGCAAACTGAAGCAGACACTAATGATCATAACACAATGCGAGCCAGCAAAACATAAACGAGACAACATAGATGCTTTCCTCCACAAAGGAATATTAATTGCAATTCTAGAACATCTATGTGACATGAAACAACTATGTAACAGCAACATGAATGACTCAAGTGTCCAAGAATTACCAGCTTCAGCAGACAATCATTTACAATTGGACACATGACATGAAATTAGTAGCAATGACTGTATCAAATCTCAAGGGAAACGATAAGTTGGGGATTCATTCAGTAAGGTAAATAGTTTTGAATAACTGTCTTATGCTTCCATTATTAACTTGAAAACCATCACCCTCGTATAATTGTCAATCTTCATCATCAGAGCTAGCTTCATCACTGCTATAATCACTACTATCACTCCCTCCCAGATCCAAATTCACAGGCTGCACCTGAATAACTTCAGGCGGCTTGTGTAGAGGAACATGCGGGCGTACTTGTTGTTCATTGAACACTGGTACATTAAGGGAGTTCATAGGTGGCAACGGCACAGGATCCCCGGGTTTCCAGCCAGGAGGGGGCTTAATTGGCAAATCAACAGGCAATTCCACAGGCATTCCAGGCTTCCAACCAGTTGGAACTGTAAAATTTGGAGGAAGCAATCCTTGAATTGCAGACAAATTGGCAAGTGGATTCGTCTCCACAGGCTGAGGAGGTGGAGGCTCAATGATAGGCTCAATCGTTTTCTCCTTAGTTTCAACCACTTTAGGCAATCCAACATCAAGGTCAGCAAAATTATACAGCTGCGATGCTCGCATTTGCTCCTCTTGAGGTGCAGGGGGAAGTGCACCACGAAGAGGAGCTTGCCCAGCTCCAAATTCTGGTGATGCAAAAGTTGTGTAACTTATCCTATGGGCACAGGATAGTATATCAGATAGCTTTAGGTGAGATGAAACAGTTGTTGAGTTCAAAGAATCATCGTCATTGCTCTCTCCTGATTTCAATCGCTTAGGCCGGCGATAATCAGAATAATCATCAACAAGAATGTCAAGAACTCGCTCAGCATCTTTGAGTTTGTTGGCAAATGCAAGCATCCCTGCATCTTTGGCATGAATTTCTCGACCAACATTCTGCTTAACATCTTGCAGATCAAGAATTTCTTGGAGCTCTGCAACAGCTTCAAAGATTTGGGTTTGAAGAGCTGTGAAAAGTGAAAGAATTTCCTTGGTGGAGGAAAGAGAAGACTCTAAAGAGGTAGAAGACTGTGGTTGGGTTTGCGAAGAAAGGAAAGTGGGGACGGATCCACGGAAGGCAGTAACCCAAAGGGATCTATTGGGAGATACTTCAAAGAGCTTGGAAGCCAAAGAAGCCATTTGGAGAAGAAGAGCTTGAGCTCTAGGGAGGGGAGGGAGAAGAGAGAGGAGTGCAGGGGAAGGAGCATTGGAAGTGTGTTGATGGTGGGGTTGAGGGTGATGGGAGTGGGATGGAGGAAGCTTGGGAGGTGTAGGGTTTTGAATGGAAGGTGAATTAGCATTTGTGAGGCCCAGTCGTGCTGGGGATTGCACAATTTGATGCTGAAGCATCTTAAATCAACGTATCTGCAAAACAAGAAATTTGGGTCAAGCTTGTCATAAGCTTCCATTCAACCCAGAAATTTAAAACTGCTCATTGAAGTATTTATGTCCACAAAAGAAGCCACAAACAAGTAAAGGCAATTGAGACAGGCAGAGCACAAATACAAAAATGACATCAAGACATCAACATCAAATTATCAAAACACCTTGCCAGGAAAATAAATAAATGAAAATTGTAAGTAGAAGGATAATTAATAAATCGAACTAGCAACTAGACTTTTTTTAGCCAACAGCAAACACAATCTGCATATGCATATTAGGGATACAAAAAACCTTTCATTTTGAGGTTAACATATTTGTTTATATAGTTAATGCATATTTTCTTGAATATTCAGGTTGCAACTTTCTTGACAGTATACATCATTGTAAATGATTCATATAAGCAAGGGTTTGAGACACTCCAAATGTATTGTTACACAACTTTATGTCCAATTGAATGGGGAATTATTCAAATTTTCATACTACAATTCCTAAGGAGGATAATTTCAGCTCTCTTTTTTTTTTGGGTGAAATAATTTCAGCTCTTTATTACAACACCATAGTTCAATAAGAACTATAGCTTAACAAAAAAAATGTTATAATTAACTACGTCATCATTATAGGTTCTGAATTCAGACATGCATTATATTTACAATCTACAAACGTCAGAATGAAAAAGAATATGCATTCAACATGCATCCTAATTACCTAAACTCTGCACTTTCTAAGCTATATCAGTCATAATACACGGTAAATGCATAAATCACGAGCAAGGCTACTTCCCAGGCAACTAGAAAACGAAGATGAATTTGATGCACGAGCCATTGAACTATAGATATATTTTCCAACTCCCACTGCAACTCTAACTAGAAAGAAGCAGAGCACTGAGCAGTAAAATCCACAAACAGAGTGCAAATGTAATCATTAACATTAAAATATACTGGTCAGCATCGTAGTACAGCAAAGTAAAATTCCAAGCCACGAACTAGCGAGATTTTAGCAAGAAAACCATGAAATATTTGCAAATCGCAACCCTGGCAACCAAATCTACATGGAGAGACCAATCTCACTAGATTTTACAAGCCCCAGATGACGCATCAATCCCATAAACGAATACTTCAACGGAATCGCAAGCCACCGATAGAATTTTCGTCGGTGTCGTGAACGAAGGTTGGCAACGGTGGGTGTCGTCGTTCCTCGGCAGAGATCAATCTCAAACCAAAGAGAAGACTAGATCAATTGGGATTTTTTTTAAAAAAAAACTAATTGTTAATTTTTCAATGATTTTGCACCGAGGACGGCATATCCCGTCCAGACTCTGTTCTGTTATTTTATTTTTCTCGAATTCACGCAAAGGGTTCAAAAGTTGCCCATGTATCCACGGATAAGTTAATAAAAACACATACACACAAAATCAGAAGACGCGAAATGCAGCACACAAGAATCCTAATGAGTAGTGAAAGGTATAAAAATCCAAACACAGGAGAATAAGCAGGAGGAATCAAAATCAATATTCTAAGTAAACAATCAATCGTGTTGTCTTCGGTCCTTTTGGTCACAAGCAAAAAGCCTAAAATCCCCGAATCCCGAAACGGCAAGCATCCAGTTTATATCACCGACCCGCCAAAATGAAACAAACACAGGCTGATACGCAGTGAGATTAAGAGCAGACAGACACAGAGCTGCTAGAGAAAGAGAAGAAAATTACAGGAACGAGTGCCGTGCGTGGCTTCCGCTCTATATCTGGTGGAGGGGACGGCGAGAATAAGAGCGATGAGCGAGATCGCTGTCGTGAGCCTGCGGATTTAGGGGGTGATATCATTTTAAAAGTGGTTTTATGATTTTCAAAATAAATGTATAAAAAAATTTGTCTCGTTTTATAAAAAATATTTTTAAAATTATAATTTAGAGATTACCAAACACTTTTTTAATTATTGCTTTCTTTAGTTCTTGCTCAGTGTTCTCTCATTTTCACTCCAACTGCTCCCAGGACAATTCCTTTTTCATTAAATTTAACATATTTTTAGTTTTGTTTCCTATGTTACGAATAACTGAAATTAATAGAAGATGGCCTCATTGACTCATCCAAAGATTTGGATTTTTAAACAAACTTTAGGTACCTTTAAATAACAAAATTTTGAATAAAAAAATTCCAACAATTTTCTCATTTTAATGTTTAACATTAAAAAAATTAATAAATTTAAGAAAAATTGCCCATTTATACTTATTTGAAAAACTAATTATCTAATGATTTTTTTTATTAGATCAATGATTTCCCTTTTTGAGGTTTTAGAGTATATATCAACAACTTGTTCAATTATGTAATGATATTTAATAAGTTTTTGTGTTTTAAAACTATTAAATATAAAAAAATACATGTACTCAAATTGAGGTATTATGGTACATTTAATTCTCAAAAAATAATTTATGGGCGATTTTTTCTAAACTTAAACCGCTGAAATTAGAACTAATTCAAAATTATAATAAAAGTACTAATTTGTAGAACAATTAAATTCTTTTAAACAAGTTCTTTATTAAGTACCTAATCATAATTTTTATTTGATCGTTTTATTTAGTTATTGGCAAAAAATGTACTAATAAAAGTAGCTTCCTAATCATAATTTTTATTAGATCGTTTTATTTAGTGACTAATAAAATTATCGTTTAGTTACCAATAAACAAAAAGAAAAAAAAAAAGAATAAAAAGGTCAATTTTATTTGTTTCTCTCTCCTTCGTCCCCCTCTCTCTTCCAGTCCAGCTAATATTATCCCACTCTTTACTCATTTCACGACCATCTTGTTCCCCACTGTCTCTCACACAGACATTTGAATTCCTCAGAAAGAATAATGCAGATTCTTGCCAGATACCTCCTTGTGTTGGAAGCCAGAAGCTACATTTGTTAGATCCAACCTCTTCGACCCTCCAAATTTAAGCAAAAATGGGTGGCCTTAGGGAGTCATGGTGTTTCTGCAAAGGCGTGGGCAAGTCCGAGAGAATGAAGGCCGCCATTTTCTCCGGTAAAGCCCAGGCCATGGCCACTATCTCCACCGCCGCTAATGGGATCTCCGGTGCCGGCTTCTTGATCCACCGCAACTTGCTTTTGACTACTCATGCTAATCTTCCCTCCGTTGCTGCCGCTGAGAGCTCCGAGATCCGCCTCCAAAACGGCGTCGCTTCAACTCTTGTTCCTCACAGGTACCCATCTCAGGTTTTTCTTTTAAGTCACATTGGCTTTCGAATTGTTGAAAATGATCTATGGAAAAAGAAAAGCAATGGATTGGAATCGACAGTTTATGTATCGTTGGGAGGGAAACCTCATGGGTAAGATATCACTTATATATGTGTTTTCCCTATGAATGTTGGAGGCATTTACCCTTTTAGGATTTTTTTTTTTTTTTTTGGGGTGATGTTACAGGGTTCTTTAGTATTACTTGTTGGTTTCTCCTGCCTCTTAGTTACAGTTCTCTGTCTCTTATCAGTTAAATGAAGTGTTAAAGTTGGACTTTAGATGGTAGCGTCTATTCGAGTGTGGCATCTCTTATGATAAATGGCTATTCGTTAATTTATAAATGGCGGTTTTATAATTAGCTTGGACAGTGAACCAAAAGGGCAACTGGGTCCAAGATCAACCACAAAGGAAATTTCCAGTGGCAGCCTTTGCAGAATCTCTGCAATTAGTTTATTTATCTATATCTTTTTATTTTGTTTGGCCATATTTATCCATGTCACAAGCTTCAGCTGCAAAAAATAACTCTTATAAGCCACAAGCTAAATTAAATTACAGTGCCGATCAAGTATCATGGTGCCCAGAGCCTTAGTAGGGAGCTACAAGCTATAGCAAGCTATTAATAACGTACCCGTTTTGCCAGTAAGATGTATGATATTATAGAACTAACAAGTAACAACTTGAGAGTATGATGGTCCAAAAAAAAAAAACACTTGAGAGCATGGGCTGTGAAGGATTTTAGATAACTGGCTAGACTTGCTGATAATTCATATATAAAACGTAGCTATAACATTGGCATAGATCACCATAAATCATCCATGGAAAATGAATTCCTATTACCTGCTATTGTTCAGAAAGTCTAAACATTAACTAAGACTCATAATTATGGGTTACACCGTCTAATAAGTTCCTGTCAGAAATTTGTTCGCTTGATATTTCAAGAGACATTCTTAGTTCTGGCTTCATTCTCTAGTTCATGTCTTTTGAAGTTAGTCGAAGTTGAAAGATGCTGGCTTTGATTAATGCAGCAAGCATCTTTGACTTCCATGCCTTTTAATCTTTTGTGGCATTGCTTGCACATGATAGGCTTGCACTGTGAGATCAAAGAAAACTCCCGTGTTCTCCTTCTGTTTTCTAAGGAAGGAATTACTGCATAAGTTCTTGTCTACAATAAATTGACTTGCACATATTAGAATATAAATTAGCATTTCATCATCAAAGGCTAAAATGTTGAGATTTATTGGTTAAGTATCACCCTATATTAAAAGTTAGTCAATTTGCCCCTTCCACCTATCCGTTGTTGGCAATCATTGAGGCATGACAATTATGTGACCTTTTTTCCTTTTTCTGGAGATAGCAACAGTAGCAGCTCAAAATTTACCATTGTAAACTCATTTCTTCAAATATTTATTGAATTGGAATCAATAAGAAATGTCTTTCCATTAATCTTTCTTTTCATGACAATCATGAAAAGATGATGTAATTTTCAATTGTTATACCTGACACGGCCATCTTGAAAGCAATGTTATTTTATACCACGGCATCTGAGATGTCATATAGTTTAACGTACTAGTGTACCAAACACCTGTAGATTGCAATTAGAACAAATCCGAATATGAGGATGTTCTCTAAAGCTGGAAGTATTACTTTACTTTTTTAAAGTCATAATTTTTTCGTCCAGATATTTTTTTAATAATTGAATGAACGATCAGTGTAAAATATATTAACTCTTAAATCTTGCCATGAAATGATCTGTTGATAAACTTTTTGTTTAAACTGAAGTGGGTATATTGCAGTTCTTGAAAACCAGTGCAGAGAAGAGAGGCAAGCTCCAATAATTGGAACCTCACCAATTTATCATAATAGTGATTGTTCGCATGTGGCAACCACCTTTTTGTCGTCTTCTGGACATGGATAAAATTTGAGTTTTGACCATCTTTAACAGCAGGACGTGCCCAATTTTCTGTCTATTGAGAAATCTAGGGAGATTCTCACTATTATTATTGATGAAGAACTCTGTTTTCCTTTTTGGCCCCCATTATAAGTTAATGTCTACTGAATTTTGTTTTCTTCTCTCACTTTCAAGTTAGTCTTCTAGCTATTGTCATTAAAGAGGGAAAAACAGTTACATGCTCTGCACTCTACCATAGATGCTTGGTTGAAAATAGTCAAAATGGCTCTGTGATCATCTGTGTTATCTGTGGAAAATTGAAGCTGGGAAGCTTGTAAAGATGCTTCCTTGTAATACAGAACTCAAGTATCATCAGGCTTCCATTTGTACATACCATGTTGGTTCATTGGTTCTGATCTAACTTAACGCATTTAAGTTCATGCAGCATTGCCCGTTCAAATGAAATTAAGGGGAAAATTGGTTGCAAATTCTTGAGACTGTTTCTTAATTGGCGAAATTAAAATATTACTACAATACTTTGCTCTCTTATTGTGGATGACTGAATGAAGAAAGAGGGATCTGACTTAGGCACTATGACTTGTGCTACCCTTTAAGTGATCATATTGTGAGCAGTGCATTAAATGGTACTTGTTTCAACTGGTTTCAGGTTTTTCATTACAAGCTCTGTATTAGATCTTACAATAGTGGGTATAGATGACGCGGATGGAGAATCAAGTGCCCAGGGTCAATGCCCTCACCACTTGAAGACCTGTTCCAAAGTTAATCTGGATCTGGGAAGCGCGGTTTACCTTTTGGGCTACACAGATAAACAAGAGCTCACTGTTGGTGAGGGAAAGGTAGTCATAGCCACTGACAATCTTATAAAACTGTCAACTGATGGGATGGCATGGAGGCCAGGATCTGCTGGGTTTGATGTACATGGAAATCTAGCATTTATGATTTGTGATCCAATGAAATTAGCCACATCTCCAAATGCCAAATCCTCTTCAACTTCTTCATCATCTTCATCCTCGTGGAAGAAGGATCTCCCTATGCAGTTCGGTATACCGATTCCTGTCATTTGTGATTGGTTAAACCAGCATTGGGAAGGCAGTCTTGATGAGCTTAACAAACCAAAATTACCAATAATTCGGTTGATGTCCACTGGCCTGAAGAGTGAGCATTCATGTACTTCCTTCACACAACGGCAAGTCTTCAAGTCAATAGAGGCTGACAATAATGATGGCACTGGGTCATCATCAAATAATATATCGAAGACAAAGGATCAAGGACCAAGTTTTTCTGCCGCTGCTGGAGCTAACACTGTTGAAGAGAGTTTGACCACAAATCCTAATACTGCCTATGTCCAGGGAATTCCCACTCCAGAAATATATGAATCACCTAAATTAACTTCTAATCCTTTGAGGAGAAAGGAAAATATGCCAGTACAGCTTTTAGATATCAATTTTCCCCCAAGGATTACTAAACCTACAGGTTTACAACAATCTCATGCAGAACAAGAACTACATCCACATCGTGCCAAGGAACCTTCATCAGAAAGCCAGTTGGAAGGAGAACAAAACCGAAACAAAAGGCCAGGACCTCCTAGTGTAGAGGTTTCCTCAACGGGTTCTGTGAATGGAGCACAAAGCGAGGTTCAATCTAGTTCCTCGCCGCCAATGCAAGTATTAGACATGCACCACGGATACAGCAGTGAAGAAGAGACTATGTACTCTGCAGAAACGGCTGAGAGTCGCAACTACACAAGCCCTAGAGAGGGGAAGTTTCAGTCAGTAAGAAGGAGCCAGAGCTGTGTTGGTTACAATAGATGGGGTTCTAACCAAAGGAATCCGGCAGCGGGCAAGATGACGCCAGAAAACCAGAGAAGCTTCATCAATGGGAAGAAAATGTATTCACAAGGAGCAACTTCTCAGAGGAGTAATGACTATTTTAGCCCCACTGTATCCTCTATCATGAAACGCAGCAACTTGGATCACACTCACACTGTCAGACCCCGGCAAACTTCTGTTCATTCTTCACCAAGATGGATGTTTTGATTTATATATTATGATACCCCCAATCCCCAGAAAGCATTAGAGAGAAAACAGTAGAAAAAGAGTATAGTTTTTGCCCTTGTTTTTCTTCTTTATGAATTAATGGGCCCATCTAATTTCCTTTTTTGCAGTGTAACTAAATTATTTTAGGAAACAAATGCAAACCCTGGTTATGGTGAATAAGAAATTCGCTCAAGATGTAGATTCCTTCAAAGTTTACACCGAGTGGGTCTTGGCCTTTTTGTTGAAAGTGAATAGGTTCGATATTGAGAATAAAGGCGACCCCGGAATGTATTAGGTGGAGCTCGGGGCAGTGACAGAGTGGGGTACTAATGGCGAAATGTCATTGGCGGCATAACCATACCTCTTAATTTGCCTCGAAAATAAATAACTACTGAGGTGTAAGAAGTTTTTTAAATACAGCTGAAATGAGTGAAAAGTACATAGTAGGAAACAACACATAAATTTAATTTAATACTACCTCAACAAATTGAATATTCAATTTGATCTTAAACATAAAATATCAATTCATTTTGTCTTTCATATTTATTTATTTATTTTAAAATAGTCTCATAATGATTACAAATGTTAAAAATGTTTTTATTCCAATGTACATTACTCCTTCTGTCTCTTTTTATAAATAACAACTATCATTCCTCTCTTGTCCCTAAATATAAATAACATTTGCAAGTGATCTTAAAGTTTTGTAACAAATTTTCTAATTTACTCTCATTAATTACTTATTTTAATACTCAATATATTTATCATATCATTTTCTAAACCATCATCTCTTTTCATCGCATTCTTTCTTTCATAAGTAAGAGTAGTTTGGAAAAAGAACTTTGAATTTTTACCTATTTATTATCTTTAAATAACATTTTGATCCACGTGATAGAATCCAAAGTTGCTTATAAAAAGAGATAGAAGAAGTATTAACAAAGATATTTCAAAAAAGCCAATATTCATATATTATAAATGACTAATTTAACTCATTTTTTAATATTTAGAAATTAATTATATAGTTTTTATATTAAAGATTGGGGATAATAATATCTGATTTATGATCACAATGTTAAGAACATTTGTAATTTTAAAAAACTGATAAAATAAAAATGTCAATACATTTTATTGTTTTGTAAGACCTTATTGGATTCGATTATTGGCTTCGAATAACGATAATCATTCATTTTATTTTTGCTATTGAAAAAAGGAGGGCCGAAAAATACGTTGCCCTGCCAAATACCAACTCATGAAACCATAGAAGACTAAACGAGCATGAAAATAACGAATGTATCTTCACTTTATTTGATTTTGACATGTTCAGAATTCAAACAAGGAAAATATCTCCTAGATTTTCCCGTACCCTTCATGAAAATGGTCAGTTTCAATTTTTCTGTGCAAATTGAATCGACCAAAGAAAACATACTCTAGATCTAGTCATGAAATATCATAGAAGATAGAATTGCAACAGCTTAACAGTCAATTAATTAACCATCCATGAACAAGACGTTTCTATATGAGTAGGGGTTTTACCATTCAAGGAAGGCAGTATAATATGGGCAGAGCCAGAGCATCTTAAATACTAACCGATCTGTATTCGTTTAGATGCCAACTCAATTTTGAAATTGTGATTAGATTAAATTAAACACGATTTGGAGTAGTATGCGTAATTCTCTTCACTACTCATGATACTGCACGGATGAGATAGAAACATTAATTTGTAATCATACTGAACCAAATTTTCTCAATTCTAGTTAATCCCAAGTATGGGAACACAAAATAACACAACGTCATTGTTCTAATGTCACATGCTAGAGAACTTTTAGTAGAGGGGAAAAAAGCATAAACTTCTAACATCTCCAGCAAGTTCTAAATACACTTAAAAACATGCTTCTATCGGTTCAAAGTGAGGCCCTCAGTAGCACCTAATTGAAAACTGAATAAGCAGATGCATTGACAACAGGGCAAAGCTAATTAATTAGTAGAAATTAATTCACACCTCATCCTCATGAAGAAGCATGTTTGGAATTCCCTTATTGACAGGAAACCGTCGTCCAGTTTCCGGACAAACTAGTGCACCTTCTTCAAGGTGAAGTTCCAAAAGAGCATGGTGAAACCTACTGAGAAACTCATCAGATTCAAGCATGGATGGATCAGCTTCTTCTGGCAGTTCAGTATAACCCATGGCACGAGACGCATCAACGAATGCCTTCCACTGTATCTTCTCAAACATCTTTTTCAGAAAGTCAGCATTCATCTCAACTGTCTTTTCCGCCACCTTCTCTACCTCAATGCGCAGTGGGAAGCCATTTGTCACGCCCTTTATGTTAGATGATAGCATATTGTGCGTCAGCAACCTCATCGTTATCAGCTATAAGAGTATAAGCAGCAAGCAGGAAATTCACTGCTATCTGGAGAGCCAAGTGGCCTTGTCCACAAGTTTGCTGGGTTGAGGTGAAGTCTTATAGATGTCAAAATGTCAGACTGAAGTAAAAGGTCTTCAAGGATGGGCTTAGCTGTAAAAATGATGAGCAAAAGGAAAATTTAAGCAAAAAAACTGCAATGCAACGAGAACTGGATTGAGGAAGCCACAATACTCAAACTAATAACAAGCTTGCAAGAAAATATCCTCACATTTAAGATAAGGTAGTTTATCAGGCTTTTCTGACTAATTGATTTCACTTGTATATTCTGAGCATCAATAAATGTCCAAAAAAATTATCCAAAGACCTTCATGATACATGAGTAACCCAATTAAAAATAACAGAAAGCATGATACTTATTCATATGTTAACAAGAATTCATATTCTTGAACGAAACAATTGGAAAATACAATATTTGAAATATATTTAGTGATTTCCATGAACATTGAAGTTAATTATATATATTTCTTCAAAAATTAGAATGACTTCTGGATCCGCAGGAAAAACAATGCTTCCATGATGAAGAAGATGAGACAAGTTTAGAACAGGTGCGTCAATGTTTAAGAAAACATAGCATAAAAGCAGAGTACTTACCATATAATTGCAAAACTCTAACTGCAAGTAAAGTGAAAAAATCAATTTCAACAAATAACTTAAACAACTAGGATTTTAGACCCTATTTCAACAGAGCATTAGCCCCCGAAAGAGAATCTTCCATCCACCCCCCAACATGAAAGCAAGACTTTAGGCACGATTGCAGTATACCAAAAGAGATTAGCACATGGTCATAGTCCTGGTCTTCAACTTAAACCAAACCAGAGCAGGACTAATCATTATCCAGACTTTGAACATATTTCTATGTCTAACTGAGATGCACAAACAGAAAAATACAATCAACAAGGTCTAAGCCTAAGTTTCATATCAAGTAAAAACACAGCAAGATGAGACCACTAGCAAAACTTTAAACACAAGTTTTCAGACCACTACAACAGCAGCAGCTGAGATTTATTCAAATTTCACAACAACACATACATAAAAAAAAAAAAAAAAAAGATGAATATTACAGAGTTTACAAATAAAGTTCTATAAGTCAAACATCAGAATCCCAAGTCATGGAATCTAATCTCGTTCATGCCAAGCGCCCATCACTTGATTTCAAAATCAAATTCAAGCAATCAAAGTTTCAATTTTTACAATCCAAACTCACAGGTTAAAATTACCGGTGGCCAAAAAGAGAGCTCACAATTGCATCCTCACACGGAATATATAGATATATATATACACACACCATAACTCCAAACTCAAAAGCGTAATGAAGTTACCATAGCAAGAGAAAAAATGAAAGGAGAAGATATAACCAAGGGAACGATTTGCCCGGGGGAAAAAAAAAACGCCCGGAACCACGAGGAGGAACCATTCGCGTAGGAAAAACGAGCAAGAAGAGAGAAAAAGAAAAAGACACGAAATCGCTACCTGATGTGCAGAAGAGAGAAGCACGAAAGGTAGCTGTGAACTCCGACGCTTAACGACGTCCAGCGAATCAGCAGAACTCCGAACTCAGGGAGCTGCCTGCTCAACGGCGTCTAGCAGTAAGCAATGCCCAAGGGTTTGGAAATAAAGCCTTCGAGTACTATTTTCGCACATTGGGAGAGGATCCTCCTATACTTCCCTTTCCCTTTCCCTTTCCCTTTTTTAATAATAAATTTTAATGCTTTATTTTTAAGGGAAAATCCCAAAAAAAGTCCTTGAAATATGGGAAATACCAGATTGGGTCCTTAAATTTCGAAAATGACAGAATGAGTCATTGACCCAATCTGTCATTTGTGAAATTCAGGCGAATTGACAATTTTACCCTCATTTATTCATTCACTACAATGATTCAAGGAATCACTATAAGAGTTTAGGTGTTACCTAGATTCGTATAGCGAATAACTATTCACTTTTTCATAGTCAGGTGTCTTGTTATTAACTACAACTAATGTTGTAATCACTAGAACAATATAAGCATTACCTAGATTTGTATAGAGAATAACTACTCATTTTTTCATAGTCAAGTATCTTATTATTGTCAGGTACCTTATTATCAACTACAACGAATCTTGTAATCACTAGAACAGTGTAAGTGTTATCTAGATTTGTTTAGAGAATAACTACTCACTTTTGCTCAGGGGCAAAAATGTCAATTCGCCTGAATTTCACAAATGACAGATTGAGTCATTGACCCAATCTGTCATTTTCGAAATTTAAGGGCCTAATCTGGGATTTGGCATATTTCAAGGGCTTTTTCTGGGATTTTCCCTATTTTTAATGTTAGTTCGCGAATATTAGAGAGAATGACCGATAAAAAATTATATTTATAAGGGAAAATTATAAAAATCAAAACTATTTAAGAATATCAAATATTTAAATATAAATTTAAAAATACTATATTAACCCTATCCAAATCTTCTACATTTTTTCTATATTTAATTCTATATTTTATTCTTAAAAATAGTACGGATTGATAAAATTTACTAAATTAAACTTAATTTTTCTTAAAGTTTACAGCCTTTATAAAAATCAATCAAAAAACACGCAAAAAAATTTTTAGTCAAGTAAAAAATTAAATTTTTATTTTCTTTATAAAAACTAAAATTTTCTTTAATTGAAAATATTAGAGAATACTGAATTATAATTAAAAAAATATTGTCAATACAAAATTTCAATAAATCCTATAATAAATCACAATATAAACAAATGATAATAAGGTTTTTCATTAGTTTTAAAAATAAAATATATGGGGAATATAGGAGAAAATCTAGGAGATTTAAATAGGGACAATATGATATTTTTGAATTTATATTTAAATATTTGGTCCTTTTAAATGATTTTAATTCTTATGATCCTTTCCTATAAGTATTACTTCTTATTAATCCTTCTCTCTTATTCTCCCTATTATTTTTTCAGGGTTTAGGATAAAAATAATATTATATTTTATTTCATAATTTAAATTTATTTATATTTTGTTAAAAATAATAATATAGTTCATAAATAATAAATTTGAAGTATTAAAATAATATTGCGATAGTAGTGAAATAAAAAGACTGAGAAAAGTAAGGGAAAAGGAGATATCAAATTTAAAATCAAGTTTTTGATAAAAATTTTCATATTATTATATATTGAAATTAATTAATCTAGAAAAATGTTAATTTTTAAAGTAAAAATTTTATATAATTTTTTAAAACGAAATATAAAAAATCAATAAATTATATATTACTTAACATTAATAATAACTGATAAAATATAATATAAAAAATGAAAGGATTAAAGTGAAATATAATAACTTGAGAAGTTGATTTCATGAAGATGTCACTAATAATAGTATTAAAATTAATCATCGTACTCATAAAATAAAATGTCCAAGACCATGATCATAGAATAAAATAATACGGTTATTTAGAAGTATTTTGTCAGGTGTACACCATATTCTAAAATATTTTGTGATGCATCCAACTTCCTCCAATATCAAAGTATTTTGTAATACGTTTAACACTTCAAAATATTTTTTTAAGATGCATCCAGCATCCTAAAAAATACCAAAAAAATACTTTATAATGCTTAATATACATTCATTTAACGGACCTTTTGAGGAGTTAATGATAATATTAAAACTACTAATGAAATAATACTTTAAAAACACAATTGCATCTGAAAAAATTAATACTTTTAAAACAAAAATTACACCATAAAATATTTTAAAATGCTGAGCGTACCTGACAAAATATTTTAAGATGCCTTAACCCAAAATAATATAAACAACCGCGAGCATATCACTCACACCCGAAGCATAATGATAAAAGGTCTTTGTTACCCTTGAATAAAAAATGGTCATGTCACTACATAAATTTAACATTCAAACAATAAAAACAATAAATGTTTGTTATTAATGATCCTAAGAAATAAATGATTCGTAGATTTCATCTTCAACCATAACTCCTCCTACTTTCTTTTTGTGAGCATGGACATGCTCATCCAGTGTTAATGCTCTATAGTCTTCTTCTTCCCCCCCCCCCCCCAAATGGGCATGGGTCCTTTCATGTAATTAGTGAAAGAATCAAAGAAATGTATAAGATGTAAATCCATTTTCCATAAAAAAGGAAAAAATCAAAGATGCTGGAGAAGGTACATGTGTCACATCATGTTAAAAATATGATGCTCTTTGTATACCTTAGAATTTCATCGTTGCAAAAAGGAAAACCACTCAAGAATCTAAAATTCGAAACATTTACAGCGTTAGCTGGAACCAACATCGACTCCTCTTAGCTTCAAATATTCCTTTGCCTCCACAATGTCCTAAAAAAATAAGCAGAATAAGTTACATTATTACGTTCCACAGGGAAACCCTGCAGCATGGAAAGGCTAATGCTAGAATATTGTGGATCTATATATTTTAAATTTAGCTCGTAAGTGTATAGTGTGTATTAAGAGGAAGATAAAACTAAATTAAGAGAACAAGAGAGCTGAGAGCCTATTCGAGCATCCGTGTTTCAAATTTTGGTGGGGTGGGTTGGGTTCTCTTTTGGTCTACATTGGTCCCGTGTGGAGGAAAACACCCGAAGTAGTGATACCTTGCATTCATAATACTCTTCCAGTTCTAAATGAAGAAAATAGTTAGGGAGTTGTTTTTAATACTAAATATAACATCTTAATCCATTTTAATCCATTTTATCTCTCATATTTTTTATTTTTTTTTCTAAACTAACTTATTTAGCTTATAAATTGATATATAATCTAATGTTATATAAGGATATTTTAGGGAAATTATGTTACATTTGTTAGAACTAAATAATTTATTTAGCTTTATTATCTACCCAAATTAGTTAATTAGTCTTTAAATTCAGATCCGGCAGAGTAATCCTAACAAGCCTTCTGTCTTCACATATAAGACCATCTTGACCCGGAAGAACGCAATATCAATTCTTTTACATCATTCTCTCTCCTAATTACATGATGCATTATTGCAAAAATTACAATCTGAATGTCATTGAAATTTGTTAAGTGCAAACACGCGTCATGGAAGAGATTAATTTCCCCATAGCGATGTGTACCTACATATGGGCTTGGTCATGGACCATAAGGAAACCAGAAATTGAAAAAAAAGACATAACATACCAATCTCTCAATACATAAAATACTCCTCAAATCCTTAATATAACACCCATTTAACTAATTTGATTAGATTAAGGAAATTAAGGAAGTTAGTTAATTATAAGAAATGTGACACATTTTTCCTAAAATACCGTAATCATTTTTCTTAATATCCTATCTTTCTCTTTTACTTGATTATAGTTGAGAGAGTATCCATAGGGATAATTTAGAAAAAATTGATAAATATGACAAATAGGTCTTATACTTAGGATCAAAACCAACTCAACAGTTAGATTCTATATTAAGGACTGGAGGAGTACTAATTACCTGCTGCAGCAAAAGGGCCTCTTGAGGACAAGTTGGAAATTGCATGAGACCAACTCCAACCATCAATAAACCGTAGCATCCTAAAGATACTACAAAATAGACGGGTAGCTGGGCAGAGGACAGAAACAAGGTATGATAAGCAATAAGCAGGATGGCATTACGTGAGAAAAATTAACAAAAGAATGAACAGTGTCACTGACCAACCAAGTATGGCTCCGAGGAAGTACAGAAGTTTGTAGAAGGCCAACCCATAATGCACTTATGGCCATTAACAACGTCAATATCTTCACAATATGCTTCATTTATCTATCTGAAATTTCAAGCCCGGAAAAGAAAAAAAATCAATCTGAATCATCCTTGGCGCCTTAATACATTCTGACGGACAAAAGAGAACACAATATAATTCCACTTTTTAAATGTTTCACTTAATTCGCATAAGACCTCCACGAAAATCATTTCATCGTCTCAGTGAACATCAGCCAACACCATTTGGCAGTTTCAGGCTGAAACCAACCCATATCAGATCTATACATACTTATTATATAAAGCTATGTTGCTTTCATAATGAAGTCTGCCAATAATTTGGGAGCAGAAACATAAATAATAAGGACACTTCACAAATCAAATACAAGGATGCCAGCCATCCCAGACATAAAAATTGGTTATCTAAATTTAGCACATATCAAATGTATTCAGAACGGGCTAAGGAAAACTGACAAAGAGAACAATCAAACAGTTATTTAGACTCAAGGCGTAAACTCCTAAAATTAACTACATACCTGCAACAGAAGCCAAACAGATCCAAATAAAATGAAGCTCCGAAATCCTAATTTACCTGAAACACAACAAAGGAATCCTAGTAAGACACTAGTAAGGAATAACATCCCAAGACCCAAAATAATCCCTCAATCCCTAGTAATAATGAATTTTTATACCCTAAATTTTTTACTTTGGGGATAGAAAAGGATACTTATTATAAGGAAGAAGAGCGCAGATAATGAGTACAAGGTATCCTCCAATAACAATAACAAAGCCTCCCAATCTCTTTGCATATTCAACAAGGATAAATTAGAAACAACCATATGAATAACACCAGATCAGAGCCAAAAATACACCAACTGCTCTGATCATGATACTCCATGAAAACATACACATTCCTGTAGAACCATATATCAGACGATAATTCTAAAAGAAGCAAGAGAATTAGTAATTCCAATGCATTTCTGTGAATGATACTGGTTCCAAGGGATCTGGAACCCTTCTATCAGATGATAATTCTAAAGCCAGGCGTTATATAATGGAGAAAGGAAATGGAGGCCTAGAAAAGTCTCCATAAAAGAAATATTCCCCTATCATATCCTCCCAAATCTAACTAGAATTTAGGAGCCCATCTCCTAACATGAAAGAAATGAGTGACCAAAACGTATCATACTCAAGAGATAAATTTTCAAGGACCTGTATACAATGCAGAAAGCATCAGATTGATTTCCCAGCCATCCTTGTGAAACTCTGTACATGGTGCAGATGACCATCATGATGATGAAAACTCAAAAAAGGGAAAAACCAACTAGGCTTGCGAATCAAAAAGAGGAGCTTTTGGGCATCAAGTTTCCACAACTAACCCCCCCCCCCAAAAAAAAAAAAAAACCTTTAGTTTAAGGTCAACAATGCGGCAACACTTCTTCCACCCGTCCCGATGATCCTTCCTGCTCAACTCTTCTTCACAGTACAAAGGAAATTTCACATAATCTTCTCTGATCTCTGTGCCACTCCCATAAGAACTATAAAAGTAACAGTAATAGAAGGGAACAGCTTAAAAAAAAAAAAAATTCCCTTACAATTACCGAAACACTTAGAGATCCCATCCCGAACACAACCACCTATTAGTGAGGATAACATAATGGACATAAGTCTTAAAACTACCCAACAACGCGTATATTAAGAGAATTCCGAGTTCCAACTGACGCTTCCCTTGAAACCCAGAAGCTAATAAATCAACAGATAGTAGATACCGAACTTCAGTACAAAACAAGGCACACTGATTTCTTATATTCGCATTCAGCAGACATTCACTAATCTATTATGCTCAAATTTTTCCTTCCCTTAAGCTCCCTCCGAATCTGCATAACTAAACAACCAAAACACGGACCGATCTCGCGCTACAACTAGTGAAATGTATTGGTTTCATGAGAAGCCGGCAAGAAACAACTGCCAAATTCCTAAATTTTCAATGTTTCGTTGGAAATAAAAGGAAACAAATATAAACTACCTGGTGAAGGCAAAATCGAGAAAGCACGGCAGATCAAATGAAGGAGAACAAATCAGGAAATGTGAAATCGTTGGGGAACTGTTGACAATCGAACTATTAGTATTTTATTAGGTAGCCCTTTTTAACCTGCGTTCTGATTTCTTTTCAGGGGAGAATTACAATCAAGTTTCAAGAAAAAAAATAATAACAAAATAAGTTTTAAAAGTTATTATTTTTTATTATAAGACTTATCATTACTGTTCAAATTGTTATTAGAATATTTTAATAATTATTTCTCTTCTGTGAAATTTAATTATAATTCTCCTTTTTTTGATTACCTAAGAGAAGAAATACCTTCCCCATTTTATACTTTAATACTATTCCAGTATTTAAATATATGACCTAATTTGAGAGTTAATATTGACTATATATATAACCTATTTCACATGTTTATTAATTTTTTTCAAATTGATTTTATTGATATTTTCTCACTTTATGTTGGAATAGAGACTTTAGAAAAATTTGTCTTGTAACGGATAGTATAAAAGCCATTTCTTTACTTACTTGGGATAATAGCCATGAACACCCTTTTAGAGATGTTATAAGTGATGCTAGGATCTGGATTCATAGGGATTGGGTAGTACAGGTTTTTCATGTTTACAAACAAGACAATCACACTGTCGATTTCCTTGCTAAACTATCTCGTAAGGTAGAAAGCAACTTTTGTATCCCTAATCAATCTCCATCTCTGAATCCAGAGGAGTAAATTGATAAGGGATAATTGTAATTGTTTACTTGTTCTAAGTAATGTTTGTTAGAAACAATCTCACCCAAGAGGGGGGTGAATTGGGTGAGTTACAAAAAATTTAAAATTAAAAGCGTGCAAGTATTGAACAGAAACAGAGAGTCAGAGTAAGGAGAATTTTAACCGCAGAGAGGAGACACAAGATTTATACTGGTTCGGTCTAAACCACGTGACCTACTTCCAGTCCCCAGAACACCTCTGAGTGTTTCACTATCTTCCAAGATCGACAGGGCTCTTGGTGCCTCGGTACAGTAATTGAATCGCTCAATCACTCCCCCTTACTCACGTAAGGATACAACCCCTCTCAAGAGTCCACACTCTTGAGTGTCTCTCAAGTTTTTAATAAAAGTAGTGAATGGCTCTCTTACAGAGTGAATTCAATGATAAACACTGATGCTCAGTAGTAACGTGAAAAACAGAGTATTGAATGCGTAACTAAACAATCGCAGGTGGTAGTTCCGGTATTCAATCTCTTCATTAATGCTTCTTCGCGCCTTTTATAGTTGATACCGTTAAGTAGCCGTTAGACGGAAGAGCTTCTAGCCGTTGTGACTTCGTTTGCGTGTTTCGCTGGTTTCAACGGCTCCGCCATTAATGCGTCTGAGTTTCTGACACTGTAGGTCGCAGTCTACGTAATCCCGTTGAAGAGCCGTTGCACTCGTTTTCATTAATCTGCATATTTTAAGATTCGAACAAATGAGAGTTTTGTGGTGAGTGCTTTAATCTTGAACAAAAAGAAGGCTAATTTATCATTCAAGGATTTGTGACGAAATCATTTATCAGCAAGAAGAACAGAGTGTCATTCCGGTTTAGTTTGATCGAAAAAGTGATCGATTACTTGATGATAGATCAAGTTATCGATAAACGGAATGAAGACTTTTCGAAATAGATCACCAAAATTATCGATCAAGTGTTGGATCATTGACTCTAAGATTTATCATAGAAAGAGGAAATCGTTTCATGATCGAACAATTGATCGAACACAAATTTGATCGAACAGATTATCGATAATTCAAATGTTATTGAAATGAAGCTTCAGTCATTGATGATCGAACATCTTATCGATAAATGTATGATGGATAATATTATCGATAAAACATGGTTATGTAAATAATCAATGAAAGACACAGGCTATCTGAAATGATCGAACAGTTGATCGATCATTGATCATTCGAACAAGTGATCGATAATGGTGAAGGAAGAAGTTTAATGTAAAGGAAATGATTATCGATCACGTTTTGTGAAACCATGAAATCCGAGGAATTGAATGATCGATCACATTATCGAAAAACCAGTGATCGATAACTTGATCGAAAAATAGTTCACCATAACTTAATGCGAATATGTCAATTCTTAGACTCTTTATCGATCACGTTATGTGAAAACTTATTTAAGCAAACAAGTTAAACTTATCGATAATGTTATCGATAATTTAGTTGTAACAAAACTGAGTAAGAGTGGGTAAGGACATTGATTATCGATCATGTGATCGATAATTTTATGATCAATAAGGTTATCGATCCATCAGTGAATTTGATCACCTGCATTCAGAGAGTTAGAGCATAAAGTTCGAACACGTAATCGATAAACAAATGGTCGGTAATATGATCGATAAATTTGTAACAGAACTAATGTGCAGAACAAGTAGATTGTGTTACCTTTTATCGAGGTCGTTATTGATGACTGATTTATCGATAACTTGATCGATAAATACACTTCAGATTTGGGTCTCTGATTGTTTACCTGATATTATCGATCAGCTTATCGATAATTTACCATACTCTTATGTGATTTTTACGATAGTGATTATCGATCACTTTATCGATAAATTACTCATCGAATAGTTCTTCGATCAAAAAGACTACTATAGACCTGATTTACACTTGATCATTTATCTGAAACCTTAGCGATAACCGATTGCTCGATCAGTTGATCGATCAAAATACTTAACCCTGATATTCTGACTTTGTTATCATCAAAACTATAATCCTAACATTCTCTCCCTTTTTGATGATGACAAAACACAAGTTATAAATCATCTATCAGAGAGAACCATCAACCAGTTTTATATTCTCAAAAAGCATGAAAAAAAAGGGCAGATAAATATCAAGAACATATTATCGATAAAAACACTATCCAGATACACAAAAGGAGATAACAAAAGAGATAACATAAAGTCATGACAAAGAACCAAAAAGCAACTCATAAAACCATATAAACCATATAAGCTACAAAATATCATCAGTTTTCTTCTCCCCCTTTTTGTCAGCATCAGAAGGGGTAGGAACCGAGGGAATGGTCAGGGGAATAGGGAGAGGAGGAAGAGGAAAAAGTGGAGAAATAGATGGAAAATGAAAGGAGTGAACAGGTTGGGGTACAGTGATAAGAGCAAGAGTAGTAGGGACAGAAATAGAAGTAGATGGAACAGAAGGAGAAGTGGTGGAAATAGGTGAAGTGGGTAAAGGAGAGGAAGGAGGTGCAGGCTCAGGGTGCGGTGGAGAGGGAGGATGGAAGAGGAGATCCTCATAGCTGAAGCTGGTGCTAGGTGGAGTGAAGTGCTGGCAGAGAGAGGTAACTAAGCCTTTAAGCTCTTGGAGTTCCTTGTCCACTGAATTAAACCTCTCGGTGACTTCTCTTTCCAAAACCACCATAGCTTGTTGGTGAAGATCCAGAATCTTAGAGATGCCATCAAACTTCCGGTCAGAAACTTCCCCATAGTCTCTGGCAGTGGAGTAGACTCTGGTCTCAAATGCCCGAAGCTCAGCCTGAAACATTTCCCTGAGGGATCTCTCCATAAAAGATGGACCAGGGGTATGAGATGGGGCAGCAGTGGATTCAGCTTCATCCTGGGTCCGAGATGTACTAGCAGCAGGTTGCTTTCCCTTATCCTTCTGAGATACTTTCTGTGATGGTGTAAAGGGAACAGAGATCCTCATTTTGTGGAGCTGAGTGAGGCCAAAACCAGGAACCTTAGTCTTGATTTCCCCAGGCTCAAAAGGAGCAATGTTATGTGCCTGAAGGAAATAGGTGGCCAGCTGAGGATAGGGAATTGGGGTTGATCTGGACTTGTTAAGAACAAAGTCCTTCATCTCAGAGTAAATAAGATCCCCAATGTTAATCTTTTCCCCACTAATAACCCGGGCTAGAAGAAGATAATCATCCTGAGTGAGATGTGAGAAACTACCGGATTTGTTCACCATGCACCTAGAATAGATGTAATGGATGATCCTATAGAAATCACACATCTGCTTAGGTGGGAAATTTAGCTCACCGGGATAATCACTGTTCTGCATTAAGATTCTATAAGCCTTTACTTCATTCATGTCACCTCCTCGCACAAAATCTTGGGTTCCTAGCAGCTCATTTATCTTGGCACTGGTGAGTTTAAAAACTCTGCCTCTCAGTGTAACTTTCAGACAATTTTCGATGAGATTGTCTTTATCATCATATTTTTCTACTGATTCCATGTTACAGTAGAATCTTTTAACCACTTCAGGACAGTATTCACCACCAATAATTAACCAATTCGAATAATGCTGCAGTGGGTCACTTAAGTCAAGCTCAATCTGTTTATTTTTCCTCAGACCCTCTAAATCAACAGATACCACAGGACAGAATTTTCTATTGGCAAAATCGGCCTTATACTTTGCTATATTAACTTCATTATCGAGATTGCCAGATAATAACTCAGAAAATTCAGTGGGTATACCTTCAGAAGGAATTTCCCGAGCGACTCCTTCACTTGCCCTCTGTTTCTTCTTTCTCGGTTGCTTGGGAACAGATAGATTCAGGGCTGATTCCACGGCTTTCTGAACTGAGACTCCATCATCCGACTCGGTCTCTGATTCCTCAGTCACAATCGGTAGCTTTGATTTGGACCGGGGAGATTTTCTGAGAGAGGCCGGTTGTTCTTCGGTCCGACTTTCCCGGATTTTCAGAGTGGCCCTCTTCTTCGTTGATTCCTCCCTTACCTTCGGTCTGTAACGTTTTCGAGTACCCGAAGCAGTGGTGTCACTCGATTGAGGCTGTTTCTCCGGCGCTTCTCCCTTTTCCACGTTCGGTTGCTTCACCCGAGCCATTTCGGAGGTGCCGAGCTGTTTTTGACAGATTAAACGGTTGAGAAACGGTGGGTTTGAGGTGGGTGAAGGTTGGGAATGCAGC